CCCCAAAACCCCAAAACCCCAAAACCCCAAAACCCCAAAACCCCTTAAACATTATTTGTGACTGAACACTTAATGGGAATATTAAATTTAGTACATTAGATGAAGGGGTTTAGAAGGAGATGTAATCGGATGATTCCTCTTCAGGAGTATCCCCTTCAGGAGTATCCTCTTCGGGGGTATCCTCTTCAGGAGTATCCTCCTGATCAGAGCTGGATAGGTTCACCTCGTCGTTGCTATTTGAATTTTTGATGCTTGAAAACTTTTTACTTTGGGAAAATTCGTTGAGGGTTGGATTAATGTCATCTAGACTAATCATATCACTGTCATCTGAAACTTCAGTGATGAGCTCGATATCAAGTTTGTATTCATTCAGTATATTTTTGGTCCTCTTCTCACTAAGCCCACAACCTCTAACAACGATATATTCTAGAGAATTTTTAAGTTGTCAAGCTAGTATCCCTTCGATGATACAGATGAACCCTTGATCGTTCGAATCCCAATCAAGTTCATCTTGATTTTTACAGTTATGGAATTCTAATTCACTTATTTTATAATCAATGTTTTTCTCTTTTTGGTTATCGGAAGCTGTAGAGTCTCTACCTTCAAGCATAAGAGGCATGTCGGCCAGTATTCAATGCGAAAAAGACAAGGTTCCAACCTTATATCATCTTTTAAAAGTGAGCTCAAGTTGTCCCTTGTTGATCTTGAGCCCATTGAGATAAACTGAGTTCAGAGTCTTATCAAAGCATTTGAGCAACTCAAATTGATAGTACCTAAAATCCTTTGATTTATGTTTCGGCTTGAGGTCAAAATGTAACTCCCCAACTCTCTTTGGCATGTGGTCTATTAAGAAATCTCTGACAACCATATCCTTAGGCTCTCGTACTGAGATAATTTTTACTATGTCCATGTCTGGGAGCCTTCCTTTTCCTTCCGCTTTCTCTCTTTTTAGAGCTAAGATTAAGTTCTTGGTATCCTTATTCTTAAAATTCAGAATAAATTTTTTAGGGTGATCATTGATGCCAACTTTCATACCATGGTTTCTAACCACCTTAACCATCCTATCCAGCACTTCCTGGTGCATGACATCGTCATTGATCCTGATGATCCTCTTCTGGTCAAGCCTTCTCTGCTTCTCCTGTACAGTTAGTCCACAACCCATTGTTGTTTGTTTTCAATTACTTTATTATGTACTGGGGTTTTGGGGTTTTGGGGTTTTGGGGTTTTGGGG